AGTAAATAGCAAGTATGGGAACGTAAATGTAAACGAGTTATAGAAGAAGAGAAAAGAGAAGATTTTTAACGGTTTTTTCGATATATCCCGAAAAGCAACAAAAAAATTTTTCGATCGGTGCTATATTTTTTTAGTTATTTTAGAAAAACCGTTTTTTGCAGCTTTGCGATTTTTTTTAGCCATGTTCGCAATTTTGGATCGAGTTTAAAGAACAAGAAACTCGATTTAAAATTTAATTTTCTATACGGTCATTTTTTATGTATATAATGCATAATCATTATGCATTATATAATTATTTCTATATAATGCTTGGACTAATTAGTAGAAATTCTGTGGTAATTTTCATAACGAAAACGATAATGTATTATCCATAATTCTACAGTGTTTTATTTATTGTCGTGTGCTAATATTGGTTGATCGTAATTACATATTTATTTCTAGGTCCGGTACTTCGAGTCCCGATTAGGAAATGATTAACTAATCAGGCGATTAGACTGTGAATATATTTTTATAAAATAAATCAATACATTAACGGTCTAATCATGTCATTAATTAACTTAATTTATCAATGAAACATTATATCAATTGTTTGTACCAGTAGTATTATACCTACAGAGGATATGGAGTCTTCACTATACAATGGGCTGCTGTCAGGATGTAATTTTCGTTTATTATGCTTCCACCACATTTAAATTCGCGCCCAGTATCTGAAAATAACATAATAATTTATAATTTAGTTTCATACAACACATACGTCACTAAGTTAGGCATATTTTAACATATAAAATCGATATTAATGTGAAGTCGTCCATGGTTAAACTTTTTGCACAGGTTGCGTAAAAATTCACTCTCCAGCAGTTAAGGGTGAGTTTTATAGGATGAATCAGAAAACAAAGCTCAAACAAAACTCCAAATTGCACGATTCTTTTAATATCTAGTTATTATAAAAAAATAATATACACGTCACTGATATCTTTAATTTCGCGATTATTTTTTGTAGGCCTCGTTCATTGCATGACAAAATATGTCTCAGCATTTTTTTTGTTAATAATTTAGTTTAGCATTAACTAATTAACAATAACTTATACCGCATAAATACTTGTTCGAGCGTTACCTATTAGAAAGACACTGCCGTTTTCCGTTACGTTCATACAACTCCATTGTTGTCTACANTATTAACGATTTTCAGAATAACCATGTTTGGAAACAAGAAAAGCCTCATGCGATGCTGGAAATAAGACACCAAATAAAATTATATACTTTCTTTCAAATGAATGGTGATTTCTATCACTATTTTATTATTAAAGTGGTACCTGAAGTCCTGCAAGATTCGTGTTTGACAATTGTTTATACATTTTGCTGTTCAAGAGTACCTCAATAAAATATTTCCATATCGAATAAGCGTCTTGGCTTCTTCATTAAGGTTCTACTATATTATTATTTTTTCAAACAAGGATTTTTAAATAGTTTTTTATTTTTAATAAAACATTTCTTTTCTCTAGAACTGATTTTTAAATGAAAAAATGCTGAGACTCCTGACGTTGGATAATAAACTGTGGTGGCAGAAAATACTCACAAAATTAAAAATATCGGTAGCGTGCATGTAATTTTATAGTATTATTGGAAACTATTCTACACACGTCCCTGGTGTGATGATAAAATATATTTTTATTAATTAAAAAATGATCCCTAATAGACAGTTTAATGGTACAAAGTTTGAGAAAAAGAAAACATTCATTATCAAGATATTAAAAAAAGAACAAAAAATATTTAATCTGCGCCCTGTATTTGAAAGGAAGACCTTTTTGAATATTATGTTATCAACTTTCTTTTCAAAAAATAATTTAATGAATCACGCTGTGAAATACTTTAGACTGCTTTGGAAGACTTCTGTTTTTCAGAATAATATGCAGTAAATACACATAACTCTGAAATTTATTAGGTATGAAATAACTACATCCAATGATCTTAATCTGGTCACCAATGTCAGTATTATTTATTTAAGGAAAAAAATAGTACCTGTGTTATACGCCAAAAGTGCCATCCAAGGAAAGTCTCTCAATCTTGCTTCAGTACCGCCTCGAATTTTTTCATCATAATTGATCTGACCGCACTCCTCCGGAAGTAGCTTAAGATTTTCATGGTTCAGAACATCTGGTGGTGGAGGTGGAGGGACTTCTTTGTTTCTTCCACTTATATCAATAGGATCCGAAGGACAACAAATTTTTGTGTTTATAGCTTCGTCCTCGTAGGTGCAGACATATCTGTTCAGCAATTCTTTTACATCGTTGGAAAAAGGTTTCGGAGAGTTATTCAGGAAGTCTATCATCGTAGGGCACTGCCCTATGGAAAGGCACCGACCGCTTTTGTTATCTGGTGTGGTACAGCTTTGTTGTGCCCCTGTATAGAACGTAACAATGTATTAGTTATACAATAATATGCTAGCATTGAAAATTTAATTCTCAGAATTTAAATAATTGTAGTAAAAATGTCCGGAAAAGTTGCATAAAAGGCTCTTATGTCATATTTTTACGCAGTTTCTTTTGATAAATGCAGAAATACAAGCATGAAACTGCTCCCAACAGCATTAATGTAAAGTGGGGAAAGTTGGAGCGGTAGGAGAAATAGACTACTAACAACAACTTTCAAGAGATGGCAACAAATCAGCTTTCCAATAACACACAGTTGTATAAGCTCACTAAAGTGAACAATAATCTAGTTGAACAATCTCCTTTATTAGTCCATTATATGTACTCTTGTGATGTAAGATAGCTGAACCAGTTGTATGGAGGGAAAAACGGACAATAAATGAAGAAGTCATGCTATCGTATTTTTCAAATTTGAAGCAAAAATATGGAATTTCATCTGTCTGGTCGAAGTATTCGATGTTGAAGGCTACAATAAAGGTATACAAAAATATAGATAAGATTACTGCTTATATTTGAAGAGTGAAGCAAAAAACTGCAGTATTGGAAAGAGCACATATTGAAGAATTTTTACTGGGGCTTCCGATAAAGAATATTTAATTATTAAGGTAATATCTCTTTACCTTCTACATATTATTAGTTATATAGTGAATTATTTAAGGTTAAATTTACAATTACAGAAGAAGGATTTTTCGTGAATGCTGTTGAAATATGCAAAAAATATATTTCTCTGCGCTCAATTCGCCTAACACAAGTCAGATTCTTTTTAAGCTACATCAATCAAAAATGTACTTCTAGATTCAACACATTGGCGAAGGTACTCTCAACACTTGCTTCATTCCTGAATATCGCAAATCCAGAAGCATATACTTACCATTGTATGAGGCGCACTTCTACAACGTTATTAGCCAATAAAGGCGCTGATCTTACAACCATCAAACGGCATGGTGGATGAAAGAGCTTCTCTGTAGCAGAAAGTTATGTTGAGGAGTCTAACAAACTTGATATTACAAGGAAAATCCAAGGAAAATATAGCTGTTCCTTACAAAAAGAGACATCCGTAACTTGTGCAAATTCATCACAAACTTCGGCAGATGTGATGCGTTCCGAAAGTGATGGCAACATTGCTACAAGGGTTGTTATTAACGGAAAGGAAGTTAAATGTGATAAAACAAAAAATGAAAAAAATACATATTCGTAGAAAAGATTTAAATAATGACGTCAATCCTCTACTGATGGCTTATAGCTCAGTCGGTGGAAGTAATTTTGCACCAAAAGCACAAATAATAATTATTAGTTCATCAAGGTATGCTGATTAATATAAGAAAAAGGTCACTGGTCTATCGATTTTCCAAACTCCAAAAAAATTTTGAAAAACATTTTGATTTTGAATATTTTTTAATATTTTGCATTAGGATCAAGATATAGAAAAATAAAAAGTACTATCTTGTAGAAGAAGTTTTCCAACAAAAAAGATACTTTGCACTGTTTTCTTCCGAGCTATGGATTGTCTGGAAATAGTTATTTTTGTATCTAGTGCGCGAAATGCTACTTTGG